TACTTTTATTTTTTTTTCTTTATGCTGTAATGTAGGTTGTGGGTTGTAGGTTGTGATAGCATTGCGGTGGAATTTGGGTTGTGGGTTGTGGTAACACTGAGGGGATGTGGTTGTGGTAACACTGTGGTGAAATGTGGAGTATGGGTTGTGGTAACACTGAGGGGAGGTGGAGGAGTAACACTGGTAACACTGAGGGAGGGGGGGTTGTGGTGTGGTGGACCACATTGTGGTGGAATGTGGATGTGGAATGTAACACGGGGTTGTGTAACACTGTGGGAGCATGGTTTGTGGAATGCTGTGTTGGAATGTGGAATTTGGGATGCAGTTCACCGGTAGAAGCTGGAATGTGAGATTTCGAAGCATTGCAGAGTAAAATATGGCGACTGTTTATTAAGCTGCATTGACGAAATTGCAAACGTTATAACAATCAACATTTGCAAATCACTCCAACGAAGAGAAATAACACATTTTAAAAATTCTATTACATAAAACCATCAAAAATCGATTAGAAAACAACAACAAACCAAATCAAACCACAACAAGAAAAAAACAACAACACGGCAACGGTTCCCACACACGATACCCCATAACCGCGATCTTGCGGTATGCTAATCCCTCGCTAGACTTGGTAGCAAAAGGGGGTATCGGTGTTGTCATGGTAACGTTATAGTCTTGCGGTGGCGGGTCGACTTCCGGTGTTGCGGGCGTCGACGAGGTAATGAAGTGGTTTGCCAGTTTACCGGCGCGTGGGCGTGGGAGAACCACTTTGAGGGGTGGTGCAAGGGGTGGAGGGGGTGGAAGGGGGATTTTAGGCGTTTAAAGTGGGTCTTGGGTGAGGGGAGGAGGCGTGTTTTAAGGTCTTTAAAGGGGGAGGGGGAGGGGGGCCGTTTTTAAATTTTTTTTTAAAAGGAGGGGTGGGTTTTTAAGTGGGTTCTTTAAGGGGTAGGGGGATCTTAGGCGTTTAAAAGGTTCGGGTCGCGTTTTAAGTGGGTTCTTTAAGGGGTAGGAGGGGAAGGGGGTCGGGTTTTAAGTGGGTTGATTATAGATTAGTTTTATGTGGTTGAGATTAGGGGTGGGAAGGGACTTTTAGGTGGATTTTCGTGTTTTAATTGGATCATATAAGGGTGGAAGGGGATTTAAGTGGATTGCACTGGGCGGTGGATTTTTCACATGAATTACACAGAAAGTGGGTCTTTTCTTGTTCTAAGTGGAAACATTTTTTGCAAGTGGATTATACATTTAGTGGAATTGGATTTTCTTGTTTCAACTGGAGTATTTGTACAAGATTTGTTCTTCGAGTGGATCACCAATTGTCCATATCTTTGATTAGATCTAGACATTATATTCACCCGAATTGTGCTACGAATGTTAGTGTAATTACTTATGTACGTGGACGATGGCCAATATATATATATAGTGGATATCATAGATGTTTACACATTGTTAGGTAATGCGATGTGGTATAAGGTGGAGATGACCTCTCGGGGTGGCAGAGGTCAGAGAAAGTGGGTAGAGGAAGGTCATAGTAATAGCTGTGGTGGTAGCAGTAGTAGTAGTAGTAGTGGTGATTGTAGTTGTTGTTGTTGCAGTAGTAGTGGTAGCAGTAGTAACTGTAGTAGCAGGAGTAGCAGCAGTGGGCGGTATTAGTAGTTGTAGTAGTAATAGAAGTAGTAGTGATAATACGAGTAGAAGTAGTGGAAGTAGTAGCGGTTGTAGTAGCAGCAGCAGCAGTGGCGTTGCAACAGCAGCAGCGGCGCGGCGCAGCAGAGGCGGCGGCGCAGCGAGCGCGGAGGAGCGGTTAGCGGCATATTAAACCATTACGATTCAGTAGGAGGTGATTTCTTGGCTGAGGCGGCGGCTACGCCTCGCCCAGACTTATTTACGGGGTTACGCCCACTCCGCAGCGCAGCGCCCTGTCCAGCCCTGTCCGCCCGCGCCAGGCCGAGGGGCTGCGGCGGCGCGGCTGAGCGAAGCGGAGCGGCGAGCGAGCGAAGCCTTGTGGGAGCGAGGAGGTCGGGTGAGACGGGGCCAGTGATGAGGACGTATTTGTATTGCGGTGTATAAATGACCTGTGTGCAAATGACTTAATTTTCGTCACTCTCTCTCTCTCTCTCTCTCTCTTTCTCCCTCTCGCTCTCTCTCTCTCTCTCGCATTAAATCGGATATTTTATATCGCGTTCGATCGCTCATGCATACGGCCTGGCAGATCGCGTGCCTTGGGTAGGGGGGCGTGAGGGGGGGGAGGGGGGGGAGGGAGGGGAGGGTGGACATTTCACAACACTTAGGGAGACCTGAACCCTTACGTCGGCCCTTAAGCGCTCCCTTAACCGAAGTCCTCTTAAATGACCTCCGCGCGGCTCCTCACTGGACCGATATTAAATAAAACGTCGTGTGAATCGCAGAGACACTTCATTACCATAAACGTCGAGGGCTGTGATATCACGGGAGCAAATTGCCGGCGTGCAGCGGGCCGGGCGAGGGACGGGGGCCGGATAACGCGGGACTTCATAAGGGACTTAACTAAGCTAGGATTTCCTTTGGTGGCGATCGCGTCTTTAGCCTTCCTCAGCTCGTTGCGGCGTGGTATCGCGACCGCCGCCGCCGCTGTGACACTGAATCCCGCTATCACTGGACCTCGGTGACACTGTAGCTCGCTATATCCGCACCACGATGCCTGTATCTCCCTGTGTGTTCCGGGGCCTCGCGATTCAAGTGGGGACCCCCACCGTCATCGGCTGAGGATCACTCCTCCATCCTTCCCTCGCTCTCTCTTTCCCTTCCCCCAGCCCCCTCCCTCTTCCCTCTCCTCCCCTTCCCCTCCTCCCTCTCCCCTCCTCCCTTTTTCCCTCCCCAGCCCCTCCTCCCTCTTCCCCTTCCTCAACCCTCCTCCTCTTCTCTCCCCTCTCCTCCCTCTTCCCTTCCCCAACCTCCTCTCCTTCCCTCTCCCCTCTCCTCCCACTTCCCCATCCCTCGGCCCCCTCCTTCTTCCCTTCCTCCCTCTTCCCCAAGGGGTTAGGACACGCAGGACAGTAGGATCACTTATCCACCTTTCCATCCCCTCCACCCCTCCCCCTCCCCCCGGGCCGGAGCGCCGCCCGGAGGAGGAAGCTCGGCCAGAACACGATCCGGGGTCTCTCGAGCGCCCTCATTAGTATCGAATTGTTTCCCCGGGGCCGAAGCGGCTTTGGATTACCGACCGAAGCAACCCGAACTATCCTCCGATCCCGTCCTCCTCCTCCTCCGCCCTATCCATCCCCCCCCTCCCCTTCCCCCCCCCCCCATTCCCTTCAGGACCCCTTTCCACCCCCTCCTACCCTCCCTTCGCCCATTGGCTACTGTGGCGTGATTGTCAACAGCCATCGGGGGACGCGACGGCTAGTCCTCGGTTCCTCTCCGAAGCCGCGAGTCGAAACACCTTCGAAGGCGACCCACGCGACCTCGCCTGATCTTCCCTCGGCTTGACCCCATTTCTGACCTCGCCCGCGCTCTGGGATGCGATTGCGAAGGAGGAGGAGGAGGAGAGGAAGAGAAGGGAAAGAAAAGGATTGTGTGTGGGGGGAAAGGGTTGTGAGGAAGAGTGAGGCGAGACGGTGAAAAGAGAAAGGGAAAAGAGGCGATCCGAGAAGGGGTTTGTTTACGTGTGGAATGCCGAGAAAATGGAAGAGGAGAGAATCAGTTTCATTCAAAAAAGGTGCATGTAAAGGATTTAGAAAAAAAGAGAGTACGAGAGAGAGAAGAGGAGAAGACGAGAGAAGATAATATGTGGAGAGAGAAGAAGAGTTGTTAATTGATTCTGTGTCAGCGAAGTTGTGGGAGCGATGTCTGCGCCGCTGGTAGCAAGGAGTCCTCAAGATGCCTTCGCAAGGAGTGATAAGGAGGAGTGTGAGTTGCGCTATATTTGTCCGTCTGGTCAGGTTTATGGATGTGTGAGTGTGTTTATTCTCGTCTCTCCTTTTATTCCCCTTTATCCGTCTGCCTCTTTACGTATCTGTGTGTATGTGTGTTTCCATCTCTTCTTTTTTTTATTATTCCTCTTTATCTCTTCGTCTCTTTGCCTATCTGCTTTATCTCTGCTGCGATCTATTTATGTGTATCCGTATGCATTGGCGAAAGATTTTCGGTTGATTTCTTAATAGTGTTCGTAAGATCCACACCTTGCGATAGCGACGATTTATAGTGAATTACCTGTGGGTTATGGACCTTAATGATGAATATTTTTTATTTAGAAATATATGTCATAGTGATGTAAGATTCCATTTTCCGCTGATAGTCGCGATGTGGCTCTAAGAAGGAAGATTATGAAAGGGAAGAAGAAGGGGAAGAAAGAGGAGGAGGAGTGGAAGCAGAGTGGCAAATTTAGCGCCGGTTATGACACAAATGGCCCCCTCCATGTAACGGCTTTGGCACCCCTGTCACGACTTGTACTTGCGTGTTACAAGTTAATGTTCACGAGGCTGATGTGTTGTCGCTAGCGGTTTTTAGTGTGTTACAGGCTTATCACATCATCTGTTGCCCGGTCCACGTTGCAGGTGTTGCAATTATTCGTGACGTTAATGTTCGGTGTTGAGGATTTAGCCACTCTCAACATATTGAATCTGTTGCAGATGTTGAGGCTGGTTTAGACATTTGCTTTTTTTTCTTTTTCCTTTTTTTTTCTTTCTTTTACAGAGGCAGAGATTTTTTTGTTGATTTTCGTTGCATGTTAATCCATTTTGTGTTTATAAGTCGACACTTACCAACGACTTTCGTACTATGAACAAGTAATAAACCACCCACACCCTCTCCCCCTACTACCCCCCCCCCCACAAGTGTCAACGTTAGAAACAAACGCATTCTCCCTGCAACTTTAAACGCAACTTGATCAACACATAAATACAAACCAGCCGAACTTCCCTTAAGTTATGTCTTTACCCCTTTATCATTCTAACCCCTTCCTCCGCGCCGCCGTGCTCTGCATACTTCATTTATTAACTCTCTCTCTCTCTCTCTCTTCGTTGCAGGTTTAGCAGTGGGCGGGGACTACCTCGGAATGAGTGGGCTGGCGGCGACGAGGCTGAGTGAGCCTCACCTCGTCCCCTCGTCTACCCTTACTTCCGCTGACCTCCCCTCCTTTCTGGATGGTGAGTACTTTGGAGTTTTTTATTGTTGTTATTTTTATTTGTTGTCTTTCTTGATTGTTTGTTTTGTTTTGTTTTAAGGTTTCTCTGTCTTTTATCTTTGGTTTCTTTTTCTGTCTCTGTCGATCTTCAGTCTGTCTGTATCTTTTTCTCTCTTTTTTAGTCTTTCTCTCTTTCTCTCTCGCTTTTTTAGTCTCTCTCTCTCTCTCTCTCTCTCTCTCTCTCTCTCTCTCTCTCTCTCTCTCTCTCTCTCTCTCTCTCTCTCTCTCTCTCTCTCTCTCTCTCTTTTTCTCTCACTCTCACTCTCACTCTTCCTCCCCCTTCCCTCTTCCCTGGCCTCTTTCTCTCTTTCTATCCCTCTCTCTCTCCATTTTTCATCATTTTCTAATTCTATTTCTTGCCCTCTATATCACTGGTCTATAAATTTTTTCTCTTTTATCTCTTCATTTCTTTCACACAATCGCGTTTTAAACTAGTTCAATCGCCATGCAAAAGCACTGTTGATTAACCCGAGTGTATGGCATTGTCCGAGTGCGTGGCATAAACCCGAGTGCATGACACAGATCCGAGTGCGTGGCATAAACCGGAGTGCATGACACAGATCCGAGTGCGTGGCATAAACCTGAGTGCGTGACATACACTCGAGTGCGTGGCATAAACCCGAGTGCATGGCATACACTCGAGTGTACATTTTCTTTTACAAATGCATCATTTTGCGACCCCGCATGAGGTACGTGGCGGTACAGGCAACCCATGTGAATGTACCGTGATTCATGTGTACCCCCGCCAGCATGGGTCAGGGTACCTCATGACCCCCACAGGTTTAGTGTGACCTCTCTCTGCCCATGCTTTCTTCTCCTTGTACCTCGCGCACTTACCTTCCTTATACTTCCCTATCCTTTTTGTATATCATTCCTATTCTTCATATATTGCCCGATTTCCATCCAGTTTAATATCTTTTTATTCACTTTCACCTTATACTATCTACCTCCGTTTTTAGTTAGTAACTTACCAACTCCTCTCTACTTCATTACACCTTAATACCTTCTACTTATACTTAGTCAAATCCTCCTTGTACTTTTCCCCCATTTCTTTACCTTAATCTTTCCTCCCTATACCTTTCCCCCTTTCTATATACCTTAAACTCCCCCTTCTTATACGTTCTTACCCTCCCCCCTTCATCATACCACCTCCCCCCCTGGAGGTATCTCTTCCTTATACTTATTCCACCCTCCCTCATTACCTTCTTCCCCATCCCCCATCTCCCCTTTCCTTCACCCGCCCACCGTCTTCCCTTCCCTTCTCCCTCCCCCCCATCCTTATACCTAACCCCTCCCCCCCCACGTTCACTATACTTACCCTCCCCCCCACCTTCTCCCCGCCCCCATCTTATAACGCTAAACCCCCTAAACGTCCATTATACCTTACCCCTCCACCTTATTATACCCCTTCCCCTCTCCCCCCACCCACCTCCCCCTCGCCCCCCGAGGTCTCCCGACGCGTCGAGCCCGATAACAAGACCCCGAAGGAGCGCCTGTCGTCATCGGGCCCGACGCGAACCCGTGACCCGACTGAGGGGGTTTGACCTTAGAAACCGCTCCCCGATCACTTAGGAGGCCTTTAGGGGGGAGAGGGGAGAGGTGGGGGAGGGGAGGAGGGGGAGGGGAGGTGGGGGAGGGGAAGGGAGGGGAGTGAACTGGGGTGATGGGAGGGTGGGGGAGTGAACGGGGGTGGTGGGAGGGGAGAGGTGGGGGAGGGGAGGAAGAGGGGGGAGAGGTGGGGGAAAGGTGGGGAGGTGGGGGAGGGGAAGGGTGGGGGGGAGGGGGAGTGGAAGATGTATGTTGGCTATGTGCGTGTGAACAGACATGTCACATACACGACCTATATGCATACATGAAGGCGTAATTCCACCGTATCTTAATATCATCCACGTAAACCCTTCACTCCCTCATACATGCCCCCTCATCCACACTCACACACAACCCCCACAAACCCCTTACCTACTCCCACCTCCACACAACCCCACACAAACACTCACGTACGCATAAAACTCCCACCCTCACCCGCTTCCCCCTCTTCCCCACCCCTCTCACCCCCTCTTACCCGTCCCTTCCCCCACCACCCACAAACCCCCTCTCCCCTCTTTCCCCCCATCCTCACCCCTTTCCCTCTCACCTCACCCCTTTCCCCTCTCACCCCAACCTCTTCCCCCTCCATCCCTTTCCCCCTCACCCCCTTTCCCTTCTCCTCCTCCCTTCCCCCTTCCCCCTCCCACCTCCATCCTCCCCTTCCCCCTTACCTTCCCCATCAACCCCCCCCCCTCCCACCCCCTTTAACCCCCCCCACAACAACACGCAAACGCTGCCATAGATCTTGAGGCGAGCGAGCGAGCAAGTGATACAGCGGACCCCCTTCGGCAGCTTTGAGTGTCAGGTCCCGATGACAGGCGCACAGGCCAGTAAATACCGAGACAGAGCTGGGAGACTCGCTGTGTTGTTGTGTGCTGCGTGTGGTGTGTGTGTGTGTGTGTGTGTGTGTGTGTGTGTGTGTGTGTGTGTGTGTGTGTGTGTGTGTGTTGTGTGGTGTGTGTGTGTGTGTGAGTGTATTTGTGTGTGTGTGTGCGCGTGTTTTTTTTTTTTTTTTTTTTTCCCTTCCTCCTCCTTACCCCCACTATCCTTTACCTTTACTCTTACTCTTTACCCTCGCTGAAGTGTTTCTTAATCGGGTCTTTTCTTCTTTTTCTCTTTCTCTTTTTCTTTTCTATTTTAGGGCTTTTTTCGTGCTTTCTCTTCTTTTTTTTCTTTTTTTCTCTTTTCCTTAGCCTTAATCACCTTAGTATTCTTCTTTTTCTTATCTTACTCTTCTCTTTCTCCTTCTCCTTTTCTTCCTCTCTCTCCTCTTCCCCCATCTCTTCCACCTTCTCTTCTTCCTATTCCTCCCGCATTTTCTTCTTCTTTCTCTTCTCTCCTCCTCCTCCTCCTCCTCCTCCTCCTCCTCCTCCTCCTTCTCCTCCTCCTCCTCCTCCTCCTCCTCCTCCTCCTCCTCCTCCTTCGCTAAAAAGCTTTCCCAAAAGAAGGTTCCTTTTCTTGGTTGTGTCTTCGGAGAGGTTTTCTTAATTGTTTTTGTTTGTTTCTCTTGTTGTTTGTTTGTTTGCTAAGAGGACGCTGCCGCCCTTCTCCACTTTTTTGAGGAGACTGTTTGTTTGTGGGCGTTTGTAATGATGATTGGTGGCGGTGTGTGATCACTTGATAGCTTTGGGGGCGCTGACGTGCCGGGCTCTCTTAGTCTGTTTGTCTGATCTCTCTTCTCTGTCTGTCTGTCTTTGTGTCTGTCTTTGGGTCTTTCGCCCTCTCTCTCTCATTTCTTTCTGTCTGGCTGTCTCTGTTTCTGTCTTTGTCTGTCTGTTTCTGTCTCTGTCTCTCTCTCTCTCTCTCTCTCTCTCTCTCTCTCTCTCTCTCTCTCCTCTCTCTCTCTCTCTCTCTCTCTCTCTCTCTCTCTCTCTCTCTCTCCTCTCTCTCTCTCTTTCTCTCCTCTTTCTCTCTCTCCTCTCTCTCTAATGGGTAAATGGGTGAGTGAGTAAATTAGCGAGCAAAGGAGTGAATGAGTAATTGATCGAGTGAGTGAGAGAGAGAGAGAGTGAGTGAGTGAGTGAGTGAGTGAGTGAATCAACTGGCATAACGCTGTCACACGCTGATCTCCTCCCCGCCCGCGCCCTTGTCACGCCCGCCCGTCTGTGTGTCACGGCTGACACTGGTCGGTGGGCGATCGTCTTCTGTTTTTCGGGGCGTTAGTTTTTGTTTCTTTTTTCTTCTTCTTCTTCTTCTTTCTTCTTCTTCTCTCTTCTCTCTCTCTCTCTCTCTCTCTCTCTCTTCTCTCTCTCTCTCTCTCTCTCTCTCTCTCTCTCTCTCTCTCTCTCTCTCTCTCTCTCTCTCTCTCTCTCTCTCTCTCTCTTTTCCCTTTATTTATATCTAGTTATCTAGTTATTTATTCTAGTTATCTATTTATTCTACTCATCGCTCATTCACTCACCCAGTCGCCCACTCATTCACATCCTCACGGATTGACTCATCCCCTTAGTCACAGACCTATCAGCTCACCCACTGCTCACTTAGTCTCACTCTCTCTCTCACTCTCTCTTCTCTCTCTCTCTCTCTCTCTCTCTCTCTCTCTCTCTCTCTCTCTCTCTCTCTCTCTCTCTCTTCTCTCTCTCTCTCTCTCCCTCTCCCTCTCTCTCTCCCTCTCTCTCACTCATTCACCCACTGGCTCACTCACCCACCCACCCACCCCACACACTCACTCACGCACTCACTCACTCACTCACTCACTCACTCACTCACTCACTCACTCACTCACTCACTCTCTCACCTCACTCTCACTCACTCACTCACTCACTCACTTCACCCACACCCAAAACAAGTCTTTATCCCACCTTGAGGTTCAGTAGCGTGAGTAAACTATGGGTTAAGAGATGGGTGGTGACGGGAGATGGGGTTTAGCACTCTGCGGGGGAGGGAGGGAGGGGAGGAGGAGGAAGAAAGAAGGAAGGGAGGGAAAGGAAGGAGGAGAAAGGAGGGAGGAGGAGAAAGGAGGGGGGAGGAGAAAAGAGGGGGGGAGGGAGTGTGAAAATAATGGAGGAGAAAGAAGGAGGGAGGAGGAGAAAGGAATGGAAGTGTATGGAGGAGGGATAATGAAGGAAGAGTAAGAGAGAGAAAGAGAGAGAGATGAGAGAGAAAGAGAAAGAGAAGCGCTTATGAGACAGACCCGAAGACAGGGATATTTAGCACGCCGCATTAACCCGCGTAAATAACGGAGCCTCCATTTGGCAGGATCCCCATGGAATCACGTGACCTGTGACCTGATATCCTCTCCATCGTCCTCCTCTGGCACCTGAGGGGGGGGGGGGGGAGTGTCCGGTAATGGGCCTCGGTGTTCCTATTCCACTGGGGCACTTTAGGTGTCATTTTGGGTTGGTTTTGTCTGTGTCTGTCTGTCTGTTGGGACGG